TACTTAACACCGGCATCCTGAATCCTACGGGTGCTTTATCAACGTGCTTTCCGTAGTCAGAAATGAGTGGTGACAAAAAGCTTGTTATAGACAGACAAATTAACTCAAGAGAAAAGAGGACAATAGGTATCACATGCCAACATAAACTCTTCTGGGCATCCTTGGAACTTTTTCCAGGGGTGTAAGCAATTATCATAGTCAATGTTTAAGCAGTGACTGGAAGTTGAATACTGTAGCCCAAGAAAGAAAGTGGATTTCCAAAACATCCCAGCCAGTGTACTGACGCCAACCTGTGGCCCACACAGGTTCTCCTTTCCTATCAGTGGCGCCGTCAGCCTGCCTGCTGTAATGAAAGATACAAAATGGGGAATCAGTCTTTTGGCTCCTTTGGATTCTAGTCAGAAAAAATTAATTATCCATCTTTCAGGCCATGGAAACAATATAAATATCTTATTCATTTATCACCCACCACCCACTGTGATTCAGAAAAGATTCTTCTGCCTCCTCCTCACACTTAGAACTGGCAGGTGGCACATGCTCAAAAGCTATTCATGACTAGGTTAGAAAAGGAAGGCAGAGCAGAATAGAAATCAGAGTCTAACTGTGAATAATTTTTTTTTAAACAATTCTCCTTCACGCATCCAGCAAAGCAAATATTCCTAAACCATGTTTCTATAGTTCCAAACACGTCCTTGGATTTGTTTTCTCTATTTTAGCGAAGGTGTTCGAATTAGTTAGGTAGCGACTTGATCCGCTGAACACTCATCTGGAACCTGTCTTGGAATTCTTTTCTTGATGAGATTAAATATCTTGGAACAAAGTTGAACAAAGGTTAGAATTGGGACTACGTTAAGACTTGTCCATAAAAGGTATGTGGTATGGGTGTATTTCATTCCTGCAAATGCCATGTGCTTTAGTACGGCTTGGAAAAGTGGTTTATGAGAAACACAAACCTGGTGTGTCTCTTTTCAATATTCCTTTGGAATGTAGCACTTATCCAGCTAATATGACTCTTGAATATTGCCAGCTCCATCCTCCTCTTGTCAGTTCAGTAAAAGCAATTTGATCAGCAACAAGGCCCTGGGATCCTTCAGCTGTTGAGTTGGTATATTCTTGTTAGAGGGAAGGTATTATTCCTTGCACTGCCTGAACTCTAAATGATTAACTTAAGGAGAATGAGATAAAATATCCTTGCTACAGTGCACTCACTACTGAGATGGTCCTTAATGCTCTCTGTCTCTTGGTGTCCATGCCCTTGTGTAATTCCCTCCCCTTGTGGGATAAGCTTAGTGCATTGATTCTAAGGAATACAATATGGTAAAGGGGATGGGGTATCACTTCCAAGATAATGTTTCAAAAGTTGTGACTCCTGTCTTGCTAGCACTGTGTCTTTTGCTAGTACTCTCACTCTATGGCGCTTGTTTGCTTGCTCTGGGGAAGCAAGTTGATACATTTCAAATTGCCCTGTGGAGAGGCCTATATGGTAAAAAATTTAGAATGGCACCAGCAGCCAGTGAGTAAATGAGGCCTTTCTCAAAGCCTTCGAGGAAATGAATCATGTCAATGACCGCGCATGGGAGTGAGCTCGGAAGCAGATCCTTTCTCAGTTGCACATTGAGGTGACTGCAGTCTGTGAGAGTCCCTGAGCCAGAGGACTCAGCCAAGCCATGCTCAGATTCCTGATCTATAGAAACTGAGATAATAACTGTTGTTTCAAGTCACTAAGGTTTGAGTTAATTTGTTACACAGCAATGGGTAGCACACAGATTTGATGATAGAAGTGGTAAAACTTGGGCCTGGGGCACAAATGTTGGAAAGATAATATATACATATTATACATTTGTGTCTATCTGAGTTGCCACCCTGATGGGATCTTTGTGACAGATGTTCTGCATATACTGTTTATAATCATTGCGACAACCTGGCAAGGATGGTGCTGTTCACATATTTCAGATGAAACTGAGGTTATGGAAATTCTGTTACTTGGCTGAGAGAACATATAGTTAGAAGATAACAGAGAAGAGAGAGAATCCAGTCTTTCTTACTCTGAAGCCTTGGCTCTTTCCTCCACATTAGAGAGGAGGCAGGGGTGGGGTTTAGTAGGGTGGAAATCAAAATCACCTATGGGTCTACTTAAAGTTAATCATATCACTTTCCTTTTCTGAAGGTCCTGACACTGTTTAAACTGAACCATACCACACAGTGGGGTTGCACTAGAAGAGTATTGCACTTATACAGGTTCAGCTGTATCCTATACATCTTGGGTCTATAATCAGAAAATAAAAATTGCACGTTGCAAGCAGGTTCTATTTGAGGATCTGATAGTTCTTAGAGCCTCTTGGTAATTGTCAAGGTAACCATGTGATTTGGGCATTCTGGTGTTAGGTTGTTTGGATTAAGTGAAAAAATAAAACAAAGACACCCAGAGCTCCACTATTTGATGGGCTCTATATATAGCCTGATGTGTGTCAGCCTCTGCCTTGTCTACAACCCAAAGTTGGCAAAATGGGTTTGGCTAAATAAGGACAACTCAGGAATAGAGTGGGTGTGTGGAGGGTGCTGCTTTCATTTGGTGGTGGGAACAAGACTATGAAAACCAAAAGGGATACACCATAGCACTGCACTTTAGAAAGATGTGGGTAGCTCTGAATGCTCCTGTAGTAGCTTCTGGAGCTGAGCAGGCAGCTGCAGAACTGATTAGATTCTGAGAACAGGCTGTGGCTGCATTTTGCCAGCTGCAACACCAGGTCTAAGGTCTCTCTTCTATCATCTGCCCTTCAACTCTTGCAGTAATTTCCTCTCCCTAGCCCTGGAGAGAGGCTCCCATTGCTCATGGGTTCTCATGCAAGTTATAATTTGTTTCCATAGCCATAGCCTCTTCACACATACAAAGTGAAGGACATCACAATTAACTAAGTCCGTGGTTTCTTCTGGGGGAGGCGATTGGAGTGGTTTCTTCTTCAACTATTTCCTACCTCATTGCATTTTGCATGGAAGATTTTTCTAAAGAGCAGCGATACCCAATAAGGTGGCCACTAGCCACACATGAGGCTATGGAGCATGTGAAATGGGGTTAGAGAAATTGAATTTTTCATGTAATTTAATTTCAATTCATTTAAACTTAAAGGATCATATGTAGCTGGTGACTACTGTGCTGGATAACACAGATCTAGAGGCTGTTCTCATTATATTGTTCTTTTGTTAATTTATTTTTGGCTAATATTTATAGAACATTTTCTACTTGCCAGACACTATACTTAGAATTTTGCATATATTCATCCAAGTTTTGCAAAATCTGATGAGGCTGATTATACTATTTACATTTTTCAGAGCAAAAAGTTGAATCTCAAAGAGATGAAGTGACCTGCATCAAATCTCACAGGCGGGAAAGAAAATTCAAAACAGTCTACCTGGCTCCAGTCCTGTGTTTTCTGTACAGAAGAACAAGGCTAAATCAGCAGAAATAGAGGGTGAAAAGAAATGGACCCAAGACAATGAAAATATAATCCTTGTCATAATAGGTTCTTTCATTTTATTGCTTATTGTAAACACTTTGGCCACAGCAAATATGTTAGTTTTTAAATAATCATAATTCAAAGCTTTCACATCATATACTATTTTCCCCCAAGAAACATCATCTATGAAAAACAATCAGTGAACTCCAAAAGTGTATACTGGTAATGTGCACATTTATGCTATTGTGACACTAAATACAAACAGTAAAAATACTCATCTATTGTAGGTCTATGGGTTTGTGATATGCCTTAAAGGAGGCCATAAACAACTCAAAGAAGAGAGATGGTGTGGACTGAAATGGCTTTTATGCAGGGAATATTTGCAGAACATAGGAGGTATGCAATAAATGTTTATTGATGGTGAAGATGAAGAAAATTCTATTTCTGCTGGTCTTTTCTCTCCATTTTTCTTAAAGAATATATGGTGTACTTGCACACAACATTCTCAAATCACACAGACCCCCACACTTTGAGTGTCATAGTTGCAGTATAGTTGAGTCTGATCATACACAGAAGAGAAATAAATTAAAACATATGTACTATTAAAATTGTGCTAAAAACTGCATGTAAGTCAGGGAGTCCCTCACTAGAATAGGCTAGAACTCTTGAACATTTTGCATCTTCATATGTAAGAAAATCATCAGTAGCAACTCAAGCAAGTCATTCAAAGCGAATCTGGCCTTTAGATCTTACTGGCAGTTAGACTTTATTTCAGTCAGAGCAGTGTATTTCTTGTATAGTTATTTGAAAGTAAAATATTCTACTTATATTAAACTATGTAGTAAATGTCTTAACATAATCTATACCTTAAGACATTTCTTTTGATTGTTTTATTCAGAAAAATTCTTGGCATCACTTTGAAATTTCACTGAATTATGATGATAATATTGGATTAAACATTTTAGATTTCAACATTTAAAGTGACACAAAAATATGATTATCTATTCCCAATGTTCAATATACAATTTTTAAATACATGAAAGGACTCACATAAAAATTGTAGAAATGTTAAGGTCACTTGCAGCAAAATATGGCACATTAGAATTATTTATTAAGTGTTTTTATATCTAAAAGGTAGGCACTTCATAAAATTTGATAATTTGATGTCAATATCTTAACCTTTTCTATGAACTGTATAACTTTTTCAACAAAATATATTATTAAAATTTTACAACCCCCCCCCAAATTTGTCTAAGACTTTCACAGAAGGCAATCCAAACTTCATTTCCCCCTTTTACTTCTTTTTGTAGCCTGCTGTGTATCTTTATGGTCATGTTCTGAGATTTCACTCCCTAACCTAAAATCCTGTGGGAATGTTCGGCTTCTCATCTTTTACTCTGAAGTGAAGTATGTCTTGCCTATAGAACTTGATACATTTTTCCCTTTCACAGTTGGAATAACCTTTACCTGATCCACTCAATAAAGCCAGATGATTTTTAGGTGGCAGTAGCTAGCGTTGAAGAGCTCTTGGCTTTAAGCAGCTGTTTAATCCCTGTGATCCTGTTTTAACTTTCTAACTAAACAAATAAGCTTCAACTATTCCTGTTGTTTTCATTCCTGAACGCATATAAATTCACTTCGCACCTACCTAAAACATAAGCAGAACTTGTGCGGCCCAATGGACCCATCTGCCATTTGACTTAAATATCCCTTCTAGAGCATATCTCGAGCTGGTAGTCAGCCAAGTTGTGTTTGAAATCTTGGCAACAGGGAGCTTCGTAAAAATAATCTAGTGAATCAGAAAGCTCCAATTGCTATTTCTTATACTAAAACCAAAGTTCCCTTTCTGTAACTTCCATCCAGTGCCTCAAACAGTGCCAGGCATATAGTAGGGTCTCCGGCACTCAATATACATTTCCTGATGAATGAAAGAATGAACAATTCTAGTTCTGGTTTTTAAAGCTACATAGAATAAAGTTGCTTCCTCATGCATCCCAAGCCATTCTCCTGTCCTGCCTTAAGTCTTCGCTTTTCCAGGATTGACAGCAAAATTTCTTTTATCGAGTCCTTAAAAAACATGATTATCAGATGTTTCATCCATCTTATTACTCCTCTTTGTGCGTAAGTGGATCAGTAGATCTCTTAAGATGTGGTCTCATAGAACCAAACATAATACTCCAGACGAGGTCGGGTTTGAGCCAAGGAGGAACCCTGTATCTCTTCGCATGGACATTCCACCTGAAAAAGTATTCCTTAGAGTAATCCTTTCCTGCCTGTTTCTGAGTAGAAACATTTTATTCCAGGCACGATCACTAGTCGGTACATGTTCTCTGCTGGGTGAAGGATTATTTCCTTGAATATCCGGGATAAGGAGGGGGTGGAGATCGCTGTGCTGAAGCCTGTGGGGCCGGGGAGTACGGAGGAGGCAAGTCTGCGTGGTATTCCATCTCGTGGTCGTAACTATAGGGGGGTGGTGCTGCTAAAACAGAAAGGGAAAAGAGCATCAGGCATCTACCAAATATTTGAGTGTCTACTATGTTGAAGCCACTGGGCTATATATTTTGGAAGTGGACATATTTTTCGGCTGCAAAAATCTTAGTTTTGTAAGATTAAGGACACGTATGTATGAAAGGGTGAATGCTCTCCAATGTGGTGCCAAGGGTCAAGGTGTTTAGAGCTGGTGGTTTAGGGAAAGTTTCCTGGAAATATGACGCTGAAGGGACAGAGAGAGAAGCTAAGGGACAATTTCGAGCAAAAGCACAGAAGCAGGAGAGGCCTTTGGTTGAAGCCAAAATTACACGGCTAGGAGAAATGAGAAAAGACACCAAGGAGTCTGCTTGTATCATCTTCATGGTGGGCCTTGAAATTCATGTAAGTAGCGCATGACGTTGAGTCAACAGAGATATTTTTGACTATGCTAGTGAATAGGCTTTGGGAGGATGACACTCCATAGTATGGATAGAGGAAGACCTAGGAAAATGTGCAATGATGTAATCACATACTTGAAAGATTATAAGGGACTCATGACAGTGAGGGAGAAAATTATAGAGCCCTTGAGCAGCTGAATGCTTAGGTGATGAGAGTTGAATGGAAAAAGTGGTGAGAGAGTAAAAGAAGGGTTGAGGAATTAGGCATCCAATCTGGGACTCTCCTATAACTCGGAGGATGGTGGAGCCATTACAGAAAAAAGAAATAAAGAAAAAAAAAAAAGAGGATAAGCAGGTTTGGGAATGAGGATGAAGAATTTAATTTTCTGAATCTTATTTGAAACATTTTCTTAAAATAATTTTTTACTGTGCTATATGTCAGGATGCTTTTAAATCACATTTAATACACTTTATAATGGCTATATGTGGATGTCTCTTTTGTAGACATTTCAATCACATCCCTAAGGTTGAAAGAAAGGTACTCCTTGAACTGAAATTCATCCTTATCTTCAATAACTGAATGATTCTGCGACATCTGAGTAACTCTCTGGCAACCGAATCTGACGATTTGCCAGTAGTTGAATCATTATCATGATCCCGATTCTGTTTGGAAATTGACATGTCTTAATTGCCTACCATGAATGTAGCCTAAATCACAAGGGTAGCATCATAATAATGCAAATAAATGGCCAAACTTTTAACATTAAAATGGTAGAAAAGAACAAGCAACACTTCAACAAACATTACTAAATATCTTATAAATTGCAATAGTGTTCTGATGAAACAGGCACATACAAATACAGATGAACAGATAGGGAGACACAAGCTATGTTTTCTTTGGGATCCCTTTAGTTTGACTCTCTTTACCAAGAGTTTGATGATTTGACTCATTTACTGATCTCCCTATACTTGCAGGATGTGAAGAAGCAGAACTGGACCACTGGAGAGAAGAGGAAGACAGAGTCACGGAATTGGGTGAGATGTCCCAGAGTATTGCTTCGTTGAGCAAAGCCCTTTGCAAGTCTGTAGCGGGCTGAGCAGGCTAAGGGCACAGGCAGAGGACACAGCTCTGCAAAGAAATCAGAGAGGATGCACACAGCTTCTCCAACGCTCCTCAGACCTCAGAGGCTGGGTGACTCCGATCTGTTCTCTACAACAAAATGGAATAACTCCTGTGGAGTCGAAACACACATTTTCTCTGCATCACACCCACTTCTCGGCTTCATTATATCTAGGACTGAGACAAAGAGATTTATAATAAACTTCATCCAAGCCAAGATGGAAACACCACAGCCTCCGTGGAAAATAGGAAGTTCAGCTGGATACCCATTGAATTGTTTATTACAAGCATGTGGTTCTACGGTGGTTTTATGCCAAAGCTTTTCTCTGCCTCCCACTTGAGGAGCACACACCAACTGACACTACTGATTGATTCTACATCATTCGCTGTTATGAAGCCACGGCATGTATTTATGTGTTTGTAACAGAGCGTTTATATTCTTCCATCTGCATAAAAACTGCTGGAGGGCATTTCAACAAGAATTCCTAGGGTTTATTCAGCTGCATGTTGAACATGAGAATCTGAGATATAAAACAGCATTCTTTCATTCATATATCCTTTGAACTTTGACAAAGTGATATTATCATGTTAAAGACAAGTATTTTGAAATAAAAATGGCACATCGTTTATAACATCAGCCACTGGAGAACATCTGGAATAATGCTCGTATAACTGTGGATGTGTGCTCTTTCTTTGTTGCAGATAGGATTTCACTAGGACAAAAGCTTTTGGAGGTATCAATTTTAGAATTCCTATCAATTTTCTAACAAAATGAAAGAAGTTTTCTTTTTTTTTTTTTACAGGTCTAATTATCTTTAAAAGATGTATGGATGCAGTTGGACACATGGTGTTTTTGAAATTCTTTCGTAAACAATATTCTAATTCTCTGATTTAAATAGGATAAATATGCCATTTATCCCTAGTGTCTGACATAGCTGTCTACAATGCTAAAAAATTTAGGATGCTATGAAATTCAGAGAAGAAATATCATATTTTCAATCCATTCAGTCCAGTTTTTCTAAAGCTGATGTGATGGGAAGATGCATGGTGTTATTGAAACTATTCAAGATTATTTTGGAAAATTTGGAACGGAAGAAAATCATCTATAATTTTGTCAGCCTAAATAACAAATCATATCTTTGCGTACCATTTTCCAGACATTTGTGTGTATTTATATCCACACAATCATGTAATATGGCATACACTTTTTTACTTTGTATTATGACATGCCTTTTTCATTCTGCTACATATTTTTCACAAACTTTATTGTTAGTGGCTGCATATTATTCCACTGACCATTCACTTACTTGAAGGTTAATTTGTTTTTATTATAAATAATGGAATGATGAATATCTTCTTACACATAGACTTCTAAAAATTATTTTGATTATTTCTTTAGAGTAAAATTCCAGAAATTGATTAACTGGCTTAAATAACACATAAATTTTATTGCTTAGAGAACATTGTAAAACTGTTTTCAGAAAGAATTGTTTCATTTTATAATGGTACCAGCAAGGCATACAGGGACACTATCATTTAATATTTTGGTAATTTAATGAGCAAAAAAATACAGCTTTTTATTTTATTTTATCATTTCTTTGATAATAATTAGTTTTAGCCTTGTTCTGCATCTTGTCCACTATAATTCATATTGGATAAATTTTTTTTGTTCTGTACTGATAATTTATAAATAAGGATCTTAATTAGAATTAAGATATAATTAAAATATAGAAGAGTATACAAAATTATGTATCTTTTAAGAACAACTCTGTTAAAATGGTTTATTTTATTATATAATTTTTACCTTATTGAACATATTGAAGTTTGAAACTTGGATATAACAAAAAATATGGTTCTTCATTGTTTTGATCCTTTTTGTGTTGTTTACAAGTGTAAATATTAGTCTTCTTTTTCATATATTTGATACATAACCATCCTAGTTATGAATTTATCCACTTAAATTTATATACTTAATGCTTTTTAACATCTGTTATTTTACTTGGTACATTCTTGCCTCAGAGTATTTTCTTTCTAAGTTTTTAATGTCAGGTAAGCCAAATCATTTGAATGCAGCCTAATAATCCTCACTTTTTACAGTTCCGTTATGTCTCCTTTGACTATGTAAAATTCTCCCCCACCTATTGTGTTCCAATGACCAAGGCATATCTTTTTGTACCAGAAATGCTTTGATTTAATTCTTACAGATTTTAAATGGTTTTAGTACCTGGTAGAAGTGGTGAATCTTGTGACTTATTTCTAAGGAAAATTTCTAATATTTTTGCTAGGTGCCAATCTTCTCCTCTGCTCTCCTCTAAAACCCTCTACTGGCAATTCACCCAAACCCCACCCAGAGCAGAGGGTTTAAATAAAGGCCCACAAAGCTCCTGGAAAGACTTTTACTATTCCTACCTGAGCCACGTAATCTCAATACTGCCTATTTCTCCTCTACAAAGGCCTAAGTTGCTAAGATATATTTGAACCCATCATTCCTGCTCTCCTCAGATAACATCAAGACAATTCCCATCAAGTTTTATATTCCTCTGTCACCATGAGAGGGACAAGCTCCTAGAACATCCTTATTGTAGACCTCTAACCCTGGAAGTCTTTGCACATCTAATCTGATTGATTTTCCAAACTTTCTCCACTCCATTTCTCTGTGCTCAGTGGGAAACAGTCTGTCATCCTCTCTTTTTATTAATTTTTATTACTCTACCACATTACTGCAGCTCAGAACATGAGGAAACTCTCTTGTGGTCATGCCTGTGTTCTCAAAGAAATAATCTGTTAAAAAATCATCTGTTGAGAGTAAGAAAGGCTGCAGTATTTTGAGTTTTGAGAAGAGGGAAGAATGTGTGATAGTTACCTTGGAATAGAAGGCAACATTCACTTCACCTTTTTACTCTAATTAAGATGTGATTTTCATGAAAGGACAGCTTCTTGGGCAGCACTACCAAATCAGAGCTGTTTTATTTTCTCCCCCATCCTACAACCTACAGGGATAGGGGGTGCTCAGGGTGTACGTGATATTCATAACCACATTTCAAGCCATTATCTTCCAAACTCTTGAAAAACCTGAGCTCCTAGTTCGAGACCAGCTTGAGCAAGAGCAAGACCCCATTTCTACTAAAAATAGAAAACTTAGCCAGGTGCAGTGGTGCATGCCTGTAGTCCCAGCTATTTGGGAGGCTGAGACAGGAGAACAGGTTGAGCCCAGGATTTTGAGGTTTCAGTAAGCTGTGATGATGCCACTACACTCTAGCTTGGGGGACAGAGCAAGACTCTGTCTCAAAAATAAAAACAAAAAAAAAAAAACACCCAAAACAAAAAGCAAAACCCCTGAATGTTTTTGCAGCACATGTGCTGCTACCTTCCATGCTTCTTGTTATCAATATCTGTGGCCCACCCTGCCCCAATCCCTCATTCACTGAAGATTTAGCATTTGGCCCATGCTCTTTCCACCATGAGTTATACTATTCTTGGTGATTTCAACATCCACATAACCCTGCCTCTCAGTCCCTTGACTACTTTGGAAGGTCACTGTCCAACAAAGGGTCAAGTATGGCAGCTGAAGGACTTTTTTTCCCTCCCTAGTGCAGAGTAATAATGTTCATTGTAAGGTTCCCCACTGAAGACTTTCACCACAGGATATGAAAACCTTCACTATATAATGTTCTCCTCATTTTTCTGGTCTTTGGCTGTAGGACTGTACAATAAGTTGGGTTATTATCTCAATTATCACAGGGTTAATTAATTAATGTGGGTAGAAGCGTTCTGTATTTCCACAGATGAAAGATTTTGAAAAGCATTCAACACTGTTATATGTTGTTTGCTGATCCTTTAAGTAAAAGCCTAATTAGTGACTTTGAGAAGGAAATGAGAAGTAATCATGTACATTATGTTTTTGAAGACCTAGTCTTTTTGCAGTAAAAATGCTTCCAGCATAAGGTTCATTATCTTTCTTGCATTATTCAGTTTTTAGAACAATGCATTTACTGAAAATGCAACACACTGCTGTGATCTGCCAGTATAAACGATGCCACTATAAAGCTTTGAGAACATTTCTGTGCACACAATAGAAACCTCAAACCCAAGAAAACACATAACATCACTTTAAAATAATGACCCCTATTTAGTATCTTGTAATTTTATTCAAAGTTTGGACCTACACAAGGGTAAAATAAAATGTAATATATTTTATAAAAGTATTTAAAAGTGTTTTTTAAAAAATATTTTTTGATCAAGTGAGTATCTGGACTATTTCTATGAAGTGGTTCTTCTTGTCTTCTCTCCAATTGTCTCTGCTTGATTTTCCAGCAGAGTGGCACAGGAGGATTGGGGTGCTGTGGGGAGGGACACATCATGATCTTAAATAGGGTCAGCGGGGCAGGCTGCCAGGCCTGGTCTTACCCACTTGGGTTAGAGTAGTGAACAAACTGGACCCAAATAGAGTTAACATTCTAGAAGGAGAAGATGGGCAATAAATAATAAACATAATGATCAGGTAAACTATATGACATCTTAGAAGATTTAAAGCACCCTGGAAAAAAAGCAGAGTGGCACAGGAGGATTGGGGTGCTGTGGGGAGGGACACATCATGATCTTAAATAGGGTCAGCGGGGCAGGCTGCGTTCAGGAGATGACCTGTGATCGGAGACTTGACTGAAGTGAGGGAGTCAGTGTTCTAGGCAAAGCCCCATGGTGGGAAGCTGGCCTGTGTGGATGGAACAGCAAGGGGAAAAGTGTGGCTAGAGCCCACTAGAGACTAGAGAGGAGAAGGAAATGAGGTCGGAGACATAAAAAGAGGAGCCAATTGGTTTGGCACCTTGAAGGCCCTGGTAAAGCATTTGCCTTTTACTTTGGATAAAATGAGAAACCACTGGCTTTGGCTCTTCCTCTGATGCAAACTAAGAGCCACTGGAAGATTTTGAGCGCAGGAGTGATATGACCTCACACCTACTTTAAAAGGTTCACTCTGGCTACTGGCTTGAGAATAGACCCGCAGGTGCCAATGGTGAATGCTGGAAGACCAGTTATCATAGTAACGGAGGAGGAGTAAGACCAAGATAGTAACAGCATTTATTTCTCACTGTGAGAAGTAGTCAGATACTGGATGCATTTTGCCGATAGAGCCAAGAAGTCTTCCTGGTAGACTATATGTAGGTTTGAAGGAAAGAGGGAAGTCAAGGATGACTTCAGGATTTTTGGCCTGAGTATCTAGAAGGCTAGAGATGTCATCAATCAAAATGGTGAAGGCTTTAGGTGGAGGGGAATTTTGGGGGAAGATCAGAAATATAGCTTTAGACAGGTTACATTGGGGATATTTATTAGATATTCAACTGATGATGTCCAATGGGCACTGGGATAAAATGAATCTGAAATTCAGCAAAGAGATTTGGAATGGAGATATATATAACTTTGGGAGGCATTAGCATATAAATGATACTTGATACCTCAGGGCCCAATACCTCAAGACACAACCAAAGAAGTAAGTGTAGACACAGTTAAGAAGACATAAGACTGAGCCCTGAGGCACTGTAGGACATGAGGTTGTGAAGATGATGGAGAAGAGGGCACATTGATGAAAGAAAAATGGGAGAAACTATCATTCCTATGATTTGTCTGAATTTTGCTCCCTCAAGCAGAAGATAATAGAGAACAGATTAAAGGAGAAAGAAAGGATTAGAGAATTAATACACAAGGTAGATTGCAAGTAGAGGGTACCCTGTTTGTTTCTATAGGGACTGAGAGAGAGGGGACATGAGGGTAGAAATTATCGTCCTAAGAGTATTAAATTTAGAACTTGCTTGTCTTTTATACATCAAATTGTGCATGTACAAATTGACCTAGAAAGCACTATTGAAATCATCTAATGCAAAATGAAGTATTTTGTTTATGGATTCACATGTGCTCAATATATTTATATGTGGAAATGTAGCACAGTCTCAACAAATACTTGTCAAATTATTAATATATTACCTTTGCTGTTTGGTGAGAATTTTAATATTAGATTAAAACTATTCTCTTTGAATAATGAGGACATATAAAAACTTTCTTAGGTACTTTTTCTCCAGACATCTATACCTATTGAATTGGATGCCAGTTTATTGAGACATATAACTTTCTCTGTAATAACTTGTCAGAACTCACCAGCAGGTAGACAGGGTGGGTGTGAATTGTCTATTTATTTTAATGCTGGCTGGCTGGCAATTGTAGTCAATGAGACAGCCATTGAAAATATGAATATCTTCAAATATGAGATGCACTTTATTAGTTGGATCTAATCTCTGTTCAAAACTAGAATGCCAATCTTCAAATACTTAAAAAATATCCATAAAATGGGAGATTATTTCAGTGAGGGTCTGCCATGTTTCCTGCTCTCTCTAAGGAGTAGAGCATAACTCACAAATCTCACTTCTCCTTGGGGAGTAAACAGCTTTGCTTACCAGGATACGAGGAGATGGTGTTGATGTGGGTAGTTCTGATGACACCCACCCGGGTGCCCCGGTTGTTTTTTATGCACATGCAGATGCAGATGGCAAGTCCAGCAATGACCCCCATGATAAATACAATTCCAAACACAATGCCAGCAATTGCAGTGCCCCTAAAAAGGAAAAACAAAGTATGTTTAGGCTCATAAGGATTCTGCAGTCTTTCAGACACAGTTCCCTGACTATATGACGAGTGCTTATTTACAAATGTTCTTGGGGATAATGTGAAAAAACGAATGCCCTAAATTGACCACACAAATACTCTTCTGTATTTGAATAGATTAGAAAAAGTTATAAATCCTTAGGGCACCTTCTTTCAACACAGTTGACCAACTCATCATTCAGAGTCTCGCTCCTAAAATTCCAACTCATCATTCAGAGTCTAGTTCAAAGCACAATTATCTAGATATTCTCTCTAAAATAATAATTTAAAAACCATTCTGCTGTCTACCTAAACAGTAAAGAATATATCAATCAGACATATAGCATATATGTTTAACAAATACAACTTGGTAAATGTCAAAATATTAAATAAAATTTAACATTTATTCCTGACTAAACCCCTTTGTAGAACAAGAATATTTTTTTCCTAACAAAACAACAAAAAACCCCAAACCAAACATCATAATTTTTAATTATCCAGGGAACAGTTATGATAAACAAGTATTCCCATTAAATTCAGGAATGATGTAAGCAAAAATTCTATGTTTATTAATGTTAATGATTTTTTCCAGAAAGTTTTAGGTCATGTAACAAAACCATAAATAGAAAAAACTTACATGAAAGAGTAAACATTATCACTATTTGTGAATAATATGATTTGCAGGTGCAAATCTATTCATCCACTATTTTGAAAAGTAATGAGGAAATATTTGTCAAAATGTAAGTTTTGACCAGGCAGTATCATTTGTGGCAATGCTTCCTAAGGAAATTTAGCACATGTGCATAAATAACAAGGATGTTCATCAAAGTGTTGTTGCTAATAGCAAAATACGAGAAACATCTTAAATGTCCATAAAGAGGGGATTGACAGAAAAAAAATGGTACATAAGAAAATGAATCTTATATAATGATTAAAAAGGGTGAAGAGATCCACAAGGATTGAGGTGAAATGTTTATAATACATGGGTAACTTAATGACTGGAGAAGCAAGTCCTAACAGGATAATAGCAACATTAACACAGAATTAAAACAGAATCATTGCAATAGGGTAAAACTGTATTTTTATATATCAAAGTTTTCAATATATTAATATATAGTGATTATCTTGTAAATATGGGAAAATAAAGAAAATTTTCATAATGTGCCTGGATTTAATAAAAAAATTTATTTTGTTAGACTCTTAGGATTCTTCATGTTTGGAGACTCATGTTCTTCAGTTATTGAAGCTGTTTCATAAATTGAAAATTTCTTCTCTACCATTTTCTGTTTCTTTTCTGGAAATCTAGTCTGAAATAAGCTTTGAACTTTCTGGATGGGTTCTCTAATTCTTTTAAAATCTCCTTTTTTTTTTTTAACTGCCTTCTGGGGACTTTCATTGACTTTCTCTTCCAAAGTTTTATTGGAGTTTTAAATTTCAGCTATCATATTTTTAATTTTCATACGCTGTATCTTATCCTCTATTGCACACATCCTCCCCTTTTATGGTGTTTTGTTTTGCTTTCGCGGGTGCGGTCTCTTTCTCTCAATCACTGAAGGTACCAATGATACATTCTTTGCAACTTTCTTTGCTCTTTGTATTTCCTCTGTCCATATCTAAGTTCCTTTTTATTATTGATTGTTGATTTTGATCTCTTTCATGTTTGATATTTTACTCAAATGTCTGGAGATCATTTAATCCTCTCCTATTTAAAACAGTAACAATGAAAGGAGAGGATCTAAGTATCTGCTTGGAAGTTCAGTGTGTCAGGCCAGAATTTGACAAGTGAACTGCACAGAAGAGGGCCATCTGAGGTCAGTTCTCATAGATCTTTTTCTTAGGGCTGTTCATTTTTCTCCATGAGAGGATTCCCCAATTTTATACTCTCAAGCTATCAGCCTAACTTCCAGTATCCTGGAGCTTGGAGTTTTATCAGTAAGGATATGAATGTCCACAAAATCTTCATGTTTTCAGCTCAGAGACCTGGTCTCTGGCTTTGCTGTGACCACTGTCTCTTAAGTTTAACTGTGGAAGCTTACAGGTTTATGTCTTCGGAAGCACATCTTTGTGGTTCAAAACCATGATCTTTGAAGCCAGACCACCTATGCTCCAACTGTAGCTGGGGGATCCTGGGGCAAGTTGCTCAACCTCTCTGTGCCTCAGTTTCCTCATTTACAAAATGAAGATCAGGTTGATGCTTTTCTGACTCTCAAATGTCTTACAGTGAGTCTTGTGGTTATGGACTCATTTGCAGGATAAATAAGTTCTTATTTTTAGCACCATCTGAACATCTATACTTTTCTAGGACAGACCCATAATTTCTCACCCCAAACCTCTGGGGATAGACATGTCTTATAGTCTGGAATTTGCAGATTTTGAAAAGGGAATACAGTGTTTATGCTGTATATTGTATGATACCTCCAAGGGCAGCTGGGGCAGCCTCCTAAAGACATTTACATTTCTACAGTAAAGGTGAAAATATTAACACTCATAGATTATATAGAGGCTACACAAAAGCCACAGATTTGTTCAGGTCCAGTCTTGTAATTTGAGAATCAGCAATTCTGAAATCTTCAAAAAACTTTGAACGGTGGAAGTGCAGATAAGGGACTGTGAACTTGTATTTGTACTTTCCAGAAGATATTTTTCTAAGACTTTTTCCTACTCACATTAAAAAATGGAGTACCATTAAGAATTCCAATAAACTCCTTTAAAATATTTCTATAGGCATTTTCACTTTGTTACTAAATGAAGAAGGCAGAATGTGAGACATATTTGGATGTGCTGCTATTAGTAATTAAAGAATGGCAGAATCTAGTAGTTTACTATTATAAATCTTTTCAGGAAAAAAAGATTTATCAAAGGAAATAATTTGAAGTAATAAAACTAAAAGTAATCTGGAAATCTCCTTTTTATTGTAATTTTCAAGTTCAAAAAAGATTAAATTCGAGGGCTTAATTTATGTTCCAGAAATAATCAATGGCCCAATTATTCAGACATGGAGTTTCCAAAGTATGTGTTATAGAAACTGTTAAGATATCAAATTAGGGCATATTTATGTTCATTAATTCCTTTTTTAAATAGAGGAAAGTAGAAAATTAGTCATGTTTTGTTTCCTCGTTGGCAGCTCTAGCAAAAGTACCTGCTCTTGAGGTCAATAATGAACTTTCAACCAATGTATTAAAGTACGTTTTTTGCTTAAATCATGATTTTGGTGTCCTTGATTCTTTGATATCGACTAGAAATTGTAAATTAGTTATTTAAGAGATGGCAAGTATAAAATTTATAGCATTATTTACTCTGTTATTAATTAAAAGAAACAATAAACAAATAGTAACCTTCCTGTATATAAATAATTTGCTTTAGTCAACTGTTGGAAATAGAAAAGCTATTAATTTGAGAAACTTGGTGTCATTAAAACCTTGACAAAGTTTTAGGGAATGTATTTTGTTTTGAAACAATGCTTCCTAAGGTTTGCATATTCTCTCCCCCTTTTAAACTTTCATTTTAAAATAACTATAAATTCACAGGAAGTTGTAAAATAGTACAGAGAGTTCCCTTCACCCAGTTTCCCCTGATGGTTACATCTTAGGTAAATATAGCACAACATCAAAACCAGGAAATCGGCATTGTTATAAAGTATGTGTATAGTTCTATGTCATTTTAACACACATACAGAGTCATGTAATCACTACAGCAAGCAAGGTACAAAACTATTCCACTATCATGAAGTATTTCCTGGTGCTACTTCTGTACTTTATGGTCTTACCCATCCCTTCTTCTCCCCACCTTCAGTAACTCCTGGCACCACTAATTTGTTCTCCATTTCTGTAATTTTGTCATTTCAAGAATGTTATACCAATGAAATCATACAGTATGAGACCTTTTAAGATGATATCTTTTTCTCTCAGCATAGTACCCTTGGAATTCATCCTACTTTTTTTGTGCATCTATAGTTCATTCCTAGATGAATAGTATTTCATGATATGGCTATAACACAGTTTGCTTAACTATTACTTATGGTAGGATATTTTGGTTACCGGCTTTTACAAATAAAGCTGCTATAAAATATCATGTGTAGATTTTTGTGTGGACAAAAGAATTCATTTCTCTGTGATAAATGCTCAGAAGTGCAACTTCTGGAATATATGATTAATATATGCTTGATTTTTAAAGAAACTGCCAAACTATTTTCCAGAGTAGCTGTACCATTTTATATCTCCACAAGCAATGTATGAGAGATCCAGTTTCTCTCCATCTTTGCCAGTGTTCAGTATTTTCATTATTTTTTATGCAAATTATGATTTTTACTATAAAAATTAAATTTCACAATAGGGAATATGGTTCAGAAAACAATATTCAAAGGTTAGAACATTCATCAGAAAGCCTTATTTGACAACAAATGATTTTAATTGACTTATAGTGCTTATATTTTGATTTATGACTCTACTTCCATTTGTTCCTCTTTTTCTAGGCAAAGATCTGTCTCATAATTGACACAAATACCTTTTCCACAACCCATCCTAAAATTTGCATACAGAGCAATTGCCAAATAAAATATAGAGAGGCTTCATTATTTTTTATTTTAGTTGTTTTAATAGATGTGCAGCTATATCTCATCATGATCTTATTTTGCATACCCCTAATGGCTAGTAAAGTTGAACATCTTTTCATGAGTTTGTTTGTCATTCATTTTCTTCAGTGAAATGTCTCTCCAAGTCTTTTGCCCATGTTCTAATTGGATTGTTAGGTTTTTTAATGGTTGAATTTTTGAGATTTCTTAATAAATTGTAGATAGGAGTCATTTATCAAATATGTAGTTTGCAAATATTGTTTCCCAGTCTGTAGTTTGTTTTTTCATGTCTTGATTGGGTTTTTCACAGAACATAAGTTTTAATGAAGTCCAATTTATCATTTTTTTCTTTTACAGATAGTGCTTTTGGTATCATGTCCAAGAACTCTTTACCAAGTCCT